CCCCCCAGATATTTATCCACCCCCCAACGAAAATATGAAAATCCGTCTCTGTTTCAGTGACCCTGGAATCGTGGCAAAAAACTGTTAAAAAGAAATTAAACTCAAGTATAACTTAACATATATATATTCAAGTATAACTTAACATATATATATATATATATATATATATATATATATATATATATATATATATATATATATATATATATATATATATATATATATATATATATATATATATATATATATATATATATAAACCTATCAATTATTAATAATATTTACAACTAATATTTACAACTGACTATTTTCCAGTCTGAGTATTAAATTTGAAAGTTAAAAAGTGAATTTTTAAAGACTGTATTGAAGCCAGAAATCTGATTGGAAGATCGTTCCATATAATAGCTCCACGGTAGCTGAAGCTTCTTCAGTTACCGGGCTCTGGGTCTTGGAGTAAAAATATTGTGGTACTATCTCTACGACCAGTGTAAAAGGTGTTTCTAGGATCAGCAAGGAAAGATCAATTGGGTATTCACTCTACGAAATGACAGACTGTGTGAAATTATGAAACCCCACTTTTTACGAGATTACTGGCCGTTGTGCAATATCTTAAGTGCACGGGGCAATGAATGGCATATGGGGAATAGTTATCTGCTAAATCAAGTGCTTTTCGACAAGAGAACCTCCTTTAGAGCGTTGAGGAACGTTGAGAAGCTACATTGGCATAGATTGAGAATGTTGGAGAGAACAGAATCGATTTATTTTGTCGTTTTCATAACTCGGCCGGTGGAGGAGATTGGTACGACTTGGTGCAGTACTGTCACATGATAGGCAATGTACAAGCGGGTATACTCCGGCAACGAAATCGCACGGTTGCATGGCAGCAATAAACAAGCATTGCACGGAAAATGCTCGCAAATACTCGAAAAAACGGGACGCAAATTAATTAGAAAAACTAACCCCCGCTTTGCGACATCTTTGACGTAATTTATCGCCCCCTATAAATCAATGTCATGTTACTCATTTGCAATTTATTTAATATTGTATGTTTTTACCCACATATCTTGTGTCGTTCTACTTTCAACCCCGACGATTTTCATCAAAACAGATTGCATTGATGCATTTAGGGATTATCATATTTTATTCTACATTAACATTATCGTGGCACAAAAGTAATTAAGGTTGGTTAAATTACAAAAACAACTATTAAAATCACTGATATAATCTTTAAAAATTTTAAATTCTAAGTTTGCAGGTAAATTTAAGAGTCTACATAAGGCGTCGATTGATTGTAGATGATGTTATAAGATAAATTTGAAACACTTTATACTACAAAAAACGTTTCTTTTTTAGAAACAACACATATACTTTATCAATAAATATTTTGAAATCGATTTTTGAGACAAATGTAACCGATACTTTACACATATAGATTAAACACACTTTAACGAAAAACTTGATACAGTAGCTTTGTAAACCAGTTTTAATTTTCCCCGATTTCCTTAGAGACTATTTCTAAACATTTCCCTAGTAATCTTAACCTATAATTACGGAATAGTCAACAAAAAACACCGGACTCGAACTGAAATCCGAAATCTATGTTTAAAAATTAAGCGCACAAAATGTTTTCTTGCGACCTCTTAATTTACACAACTAATTCAGAAAATTGTTTCGGACCTTTTTTGGTTAACCGTTCCCTAGCTCGGGCTGAGGAAAACCTCATGTCAAGCCTTGTATGTTCAGTGAATGGCGACAAACATGCATGTCAGTGGGCGACAAATACGCTTGTTTTGAGTTGTGGAAAGCGCCAGGTTTATGTATGTCTGCAAAGCTTTTGATTCAAATACGGTCTTGTAAATTATTCGTATTGACAAGGACCCGAGTTTACGGATTCAAAGCTTTGCGAAATATAAAATAAACGCGATGTTTTTCCATAAAAAACATGCCCTCGTTTTCCCATCAAATTTTGCACGCGCGCGTTCGATTTGTCGGCTCAATAATTCCTTATTAGATGACGCACGTCCCATTATCGCGCTGGCCAATGAGAAGCGCGGAAAATCAACCCGCGCACCAGATGTCCTCATTATGTCAAAAAAACATTGCGAAATATGTGACGTGTAAACAGGCTTGAAGATAAACAAGCGAAAATGAGGGAAAATCAAATTAAAAAGTTGGGAAATTACCATTTTGTCGGCAAAACACTCGGAAAAGGACATTTTGGCTTCGTTGAGTTGGCGCTGCATACACTAACTAATATAAAGGTACTTGTGTGTAATTAGCAAACTAAGGATGCGCTTTTGTTTCATATATACTCTTTTCCTATTTTGATCTTTTAATATTTCAAAAGGCTATAGTCGATAATATTTTTAATTACATCAGGAAAGAGTGAAATATCAGTTTCAATTTCAAGAATTTCACTATATACCACTTGCTAAATCAACCAATCCACTCCAAGATTTCACTCCAAGAAAAAACTACTTTTTTTACAATGCATTTTACTCATTATATAAGCGGCAATATGCCATAATGCTCTCTGCAACTTTGTTGTTTGACTCTGTTTTATGTTTAACCATTTTATTCCTCAATCGTAAAATACTTATAGTTAGGCTTTTGTTGGTATGCAACTATCTGAAAAATATAAGGAGAATTTCGACGTCTGAGTTCTGTTCATTGAAATATATATATATAATTTCCCTTTTTTTATCGAAAAAAATCAATGATCGATTGAGAGGTTCTTTCTCATGGAAGATGATTTCATTTACATGGGAACTGTAAAACTATTTTTGCGAAAGCAAATCATTTTCACGCTTGTATAAGTGGGCGATAATTGAAAGCTTTAGTTTTAAAACTACTTCGTATTGATGAGAAAAACCGGCCCATTCAGCAGTTAAATGTACGCGCGGGATGTTGATTTTTGTTGTGTTTGTTGCTATAGAAATACTCGACGTATGTTATCGAAAACACTCGTGTTTTTAATTTAACCAACCCTCGATCGTTTAATGACGCCCCTATATATGTGGGAGATTTGTAGTTAAAATTACCGCGGGCTAAATCTTGAAGTAAACGTTTCTTGCCTCTACGCCTCTGCTCCGTATTTTTTACGATCATCCCATGCAGCCATTTGAACTACAAAAAATATAGGATATAGGCCACGATTGGTATACAATGATTGACTAAAGCCTGATTTCAATATGGTCGTTAATATAGAGTCGTGATCTTTCTCAACGGCCAGTTTATAATATAGTTTATACCTGTCAACCACATGTAAATCATAAGTATATTCTCTAGTTATAATAACTCCGCGTATTTTCAGTTCTAAAATGTTGTATTTCGGCTGTTGAGAAACATCGTGACTCAATCTTTACGACCGTTACGACCATATGGAAACCAGGCTTAAACCTATACAACATATTTGCCCATGGCTCTTTAACCCATTAAGAGGCAATATTCCACAATGCGGCCTTTTTATTGAAGGATTTTGTTGATGGAGAGCTCGAGTGTGAATTTTGACAGGAATCGAACAAGCGACTCTGCGATTCCGGTGCAGCGCTCGAACCAGCTGAGTTACAGAGTCCAGTTGTTGAGCTCTAACCACGAGTTCATGTATATATATACTATTTTAACTCATTAAACTATAAATAAACTAGAAGGCTAACTCAGGGGGGGGGGGGATTGAAGCCAGTGCATTTTAGTTTTTCTGAGTTATGAGCAGAAATACTCAACACTGAACCTTGTGCTGTATATGAAACCGAAACTATTGAAAAACTCTATTTGGTGTAGAAATTTCAAGACTTTGGCTATTAAAAAAGGGAAATATTTAAAACCTACAAAAATAATTGCCGGTAATTTGCCATTTTGCAATAGTTTTTGTATTTTTTAAATATTTTTCTTTTCCCTGAAGTCTTGAAATTTCCACACCGAATAGCAATTTTCAATAGCTTCAATTTGAAATATAGCCCAACGTTTGGGGTCAAGTATTTCTGCTCATAACTATTCTGGCTTCATCAAATCATAGGCCTTCATCATAGCAGTTAGCCTTCCACTTTATTTATAGTTCAATGTTTTAACTTTGTCAAACGCCAGACGCCCTCGTTAACGAGAAACTCTTTTACATTAAAGAAATAAAAAAATGTGAACACAGATTTAGATTTTTCAAAATCCTCCATAGGTTGCAGTGAAGATAACAGAAATTCACGGGGAGAAAGCGGCGATCGTGCGACGAAACTGTCAGCGCGAAGTCTCCACGTTGAACAAACTGAACCACCCATGTATAGTAAAAATACACGAAGCGTTCAAGGCGAAAGACACTTGTTGTTTAGTTATGGAATATGTGGACGGCGGAGACTTACTGACGTTTGTACGAGAGAAAACAGAAGGCAAGTTAGTTGAAGAAGATGCGAGGTGGTATTTTGAACAGATTGTCTCCGTTGTCGATTATCTACATCACCGACGTATTGTGCATAGGTAAGTGAATAATAGCCTGCGTATCAGGTGTTTATTTGCGGGTGGCGGCGGGCGGTGCCGGCCGAGGAATAATTGTAGTTGCAGTGGTTAACCCTTTAAGTGGCAATGGGCCCAGATGCACCCTACTTTATTATATTATTTCTGTCTAACGCCAGATTATTTTACTCTGCCTCACGCCAGATTATTTTACTCTGTCTAACGCCAGACCATTTTACTCGTCAGGGGGAGTGCTGCCCCTCAATGGGTCAATCAGACTCTGCCCATGCACCCTGTTAACCCTTTAAGTGGCAATGCGCCCAGTTGCACCCTACTTTATTATTTCTGTCTAACGCCAGTTTATTTTACTCTGTCTGACGCCAGACTATTTTACTCGTCCGGGGGGGGGGGTTCTTACTGTGATTCGTAGGGAGATTCTTACTGTGATTCTTATGGAGATTCTTATTGGGAGATTCTTACCGTGATCACAGAAACTTTGATAGTGTAAACAAAGCCTTTAGACCCAGTAACGATCGTTACTCAAGGGATTAGACTTCAATTATTAAGCTCTTTGTCACGTCTGTGAAGACAACTTGGGGAGTGTTTTAATATACGAGTCCTGTATGTATGGCTGGTCTTCCTAGGCGAGACCTAGCATGCTATATATTTGAAATTTAAATAGAAAAAGGATAGAAAGGCTGGCCCATCTAGGCGAGTTCTCGCCAATGACTACCGCAGATCTGGCCTAGTATATAGGCCTGCATGAAAGTTTTCCAAATAGGCTCACAGGTGGAAGGCTGAATCTGTAAGTGAAACTCAGTAAACACTCGTCGTATCATTAGTATCATACTCGGCCTTTTCATGTCTTCGATGTGCACATATATTTAATTTGCACTGCAAAATATAATTTTGAACTTAATGAGAAAAATAATGTGCGAAATCCATTTAATGTTGTTTGGGAAAGCGAGCCACTCTGTGAATACCACCTGTAATAACCTTGTTAAGGTCAAGCTATATCAGTTCTGGCTCGCCTCCATCATTTATGAGGTGTAAATGTCATCCTAATGATCCCAAATGATAAACTTAATTGCCTGTTTCTGTGCCAAAATTTGGATGCACCACCGACAGATTGCATGCTTGATTAAACATTAAGGGAAAACCCATGTGAGCACGTGGCCAGGGATTAGTGTTTCCGGGCGATGTTTGTAACCACGTGTTGATATTTGCATTAATATTTAGATTGATTGCTTAAGTTAAGCTATTACCTGCTATTACATAATATCACTATTGTAGAGGTGTATTGATCCAAAAATCCTCCTACACTTCTTCCAAAATCCTCAAAATCTTCTAAAATTATCCTGAAATCCTGCTAAAATTTGTTGCAAAATTCCAACAAAATTCCTAAATTTGCCAATAAATCTCGAAAATATGGAATCCTTGAAAGTCGCAAAATCTCTTCCAAAATCACTCTAAAAAAATTTGAGGGCCGAAAGTTTGGAAAATAATCCCCGAATCTCTGGATATATTGAAGTGATTTTGAGAGCAACACACCTCTGGTTTTCAGAGCAATACACCTCTGATGCATGCTTACGCATGACCTATTCACGTTACAAGGCTACACAGTGTAAAAATCTCACAGATTGTTGACAAATCTCGAACAAGATTGTTGAGGTCAACAGACTCGCAACAAGTTGTTTCAACAAGTCTGATTTATGACAACAAGTAGCAACCTGTTATGAACAACCTGTATTAGTCTTATTGGAACAACTTGTAGCAAGTCTGTTACCGTCATCAACTTTGTAACAAGGTGATAACAATTGTTTCAGACTTGTGTAGTAAACGGGCAATTACTGCCTCTTCCGCACGTTCGAGAGTCTCCGCACCACGAAATACAACTTTTTCATAGTATTGTAGTTGTTTGTATAATGGTAAATTTACTGTTACAACTTTTAAAAGTCGCTTTTCACGTTGTTTGAATTGTCTTGAATCTCTCACGAGGGCAGACAGTACCCCAAAAATGGCGGATTTTGGCCTTCGTGAGAAAGCCTAATTGAACGCATTGTCGGGTGATGTTAGCCTGAGATGTTGGATCGCGTTTGACCTTGTTTGAAATTTGACAATTACGTTAATGAGATTGATCATCGTGTGCACGCAGCCTCGTGCGCGCGCTTACCAGTGCGTGAAGCGTGTCATTAAACACGTGTTGGATAAGCGTACCGCGGCGATGCTCACAGCTTGAAAGCTATCTTCCTATTTTATCATGGTTATATTTAGAACATGATTTTCTGGGAGTGGACAGAAAATGATACTGAATTACTAAATGACTCGGTGGTCTAGTCTAGGTAGTAACCTGTGAACTTCTGAATAATTTTGAATAATTTTTCTGTCTTGTCAATTACCAGAATATGCAACAGGAAACCTAAACTAAATTAACTTTATTGATACTGGATAGCTGTATCAACTGTTCTCCCTAGAGGTTCATATTGATCAAGTGTTACTGCATGAGAACACTGGAGTACACACATAAAAACGCACAAGTTGTAGCAAGTCTGCAAACAAGATGTCACAAGTCTGTTCACAAGCTGTCAGCAAGTTGTGTTCGCATTGCTTGTTCCCAGTTTGTTGTAACAAGTTTGAAACAAGCTGTTAACAACTTGTAGCAATCTTGATGGCATTATCGTCAACACAAGGTTGTAACAATCTTGTTATATCAAGCATGTAACGGACTTGTCAGAACAACCTTGCAACAAGTCTGATAAGTTCGACAAGGTTGTTTCAAGGTGTCAACAAGTTGTTCCAAACCTATTGACAATTTGTGAGAAGCAGTGCGAATACATCTTGTTGACGGCTTGTTGGCAGACTTGTTACAAGATGTGATATTTTTACGCGTGTACTTGGAGAAGACCTAACCGTTGTGTCATAAATACTACCATCACAAATTACTAACCGGCTTAATTAATAAAAATAAAGAATATATTAACCACATTCTAGCACGTGTATTTTATTGGTGCGTCGCCTTGATAATTGATGAATAAACATTCATAATCATTACGTATAACCTATATGCTGTTGTGTATTTGGTTATATATAGATTGTAGTGACTTATAATGCAAGGACCAACAATCAATATTTTACTTTCAAGTCTTTTCTCAACAATTTTTTACTAGGGATTTGAAAATGGAAAATATATTGTTGCAAGGAGCTGACAAAAAAATGGTTAAAATTATCGGTGAGTTATCGGAATTACCTTTTTTTATATTTGGTGAATGGGGTTTGATGTATATACAAAAAGAAGCTTAGTTAAACTGCCTACCAAACAGTATCGTATACTCGCCATTTTTAGCAAGCTGCATAATTTGTATATATAATTCTTGTTGTTATTAGATTTTGGTCTCAGCAATGTTTTCTCCAAGGGAGAATTTCTTAGCACGAAATGCGGATCACCGGAATACGCGGCGCCGGAACTCTTTCGAAAAGACTGTAAATATGGCACAGAAGTTGACGTCTGGAGTTTGTAAGTATGAATATATTTGATGAACCCTTTAAGTTGCATTGCGCCCTACTGTGCTATTTTACTCTGTAAATTTGATTTTGCTCGTGCTGGCGTTAAATGGGTTAAGACAATATATTATACCATGCTGTTTCTGGTTTCTTTTATAATTCTATATTTATCATTTTTAGGGGGATTATATTATATGGAATGTTAATTGGCCAGCTTCCGTTTAGGTAAGGAATGGATATACCTAAAAATTTGCATAATATTAGCTCAAAATTAACAGAATTTTCAAAATTCTTGCTATGGGAAATAGCGTGAATATACTAGGGATTTAGTGGTTCACTGTTTTTTTTTGTTTACCAGTGTTATCCTCCTTGCATTCGTGTTTTACCTATTGCCATTGATGAAATTAGGATTTTGTTTCTTCTGTAGAAATGGTAATTATGGAAAATTGGTCGGTCTGATTTCGAAAGGACTAACCAGCGTTCATCAGGAAAAAATGAAGAATTTAAATGCAGGTATGTTACTGTTTACATCACAGAATCGTCTTCAGAAAAACGTGAAGGGAAAATATCCAAGGTCACTGTTGAGGGACTCATATTCTAGGGGAGTCGATCCGGGGTCTTTAAAAACGTTTGGTTTTTGTGTACTGGACCAATAAACATAGACGGATTTTCAGATTTTGCTTCGGGGGGGGGGGGGCGAAATTTAGGGGGGTTGAGTGACGGGGTGCGTTGCGCCGCTGAACAAGCTGCAGCAACGGTGTGGGGGCACAGTTGCTAATGGGGGTAAAGGGACGAAGCTCAGGAAATTTTGAGATTTTTGGTCTTATTTAGTTCAAACTCCTTGTTTTTAGTCTTACTTAGTTCAGAATCTGTATTTCCATCACACTACTGTCATTTATCCCAATGAGCATTTAATTTATTTTTTGGGGGGTGGACCTTCTATTGGTAGGGTGGGGAACATTTTTTTTTGGGGGGGGTGCAAAATAACGTTTTTTGGGGGGTGGGGTGCGAACCCCCTGCACCCTCCAGAAAATCTGTCCATGCCAATAAATAACAAGCACTACAGGAACACCTTTTTAAAATTTTTCCAGAATGTGCTGTTCTATTATCCAACATACTTCAACCTGAGTCAAGCAGACGGTACACAATACAAAACATCATGGCACACCCCTGGTTGTGTTCAGGACGGAATAAACTCGCGATATTCAGGTCACCTGATGTTGACAGAGGCAAGAAACAAAAGGTGAGTTGAAATGGGTTCGGAAAGAGCGCTTGCGCTCAACTGAGAATCATTAATTTCAAAGGGTCGAAAGTTCCGTGAAATTAACAAATGGGATATTTTTATGCATTACAGTTGATAAAGGCAACTGCTGCCATTATGGAATTATCAAGAACTGAAGTCAGCTTAGCTGTTGAGTCGAGACAATGTGATTCCATATTTGCGGTCTACAACATCTTACTGCAGGAAGAATTGAAGCAAGACAATAACCATGCTACCAAAACCGTTTCATCTGTTGTGATTCGTGACCACAGCAACACGGCAAGGCTTGCTGGTGGAACTGCCGAAAAAAGACGGAGAATGAACGAGAAAGAAACAAAATCTTCGCGAAATACTTTACAGAAAAGTAGACTTCGCAGTATGCAAGCCAAACGACTTTGGGCAATGAAGAAAAGAACACAGAATTCTGAAAGGTGGGTGTGGGACGGTTGGTCCTTACTAAATTACAGTAAGGACCTAATATTACTTTGGGGCTGGGTTGGTTGGTCGGCCAGGTTGGTTGTACTTGACTGGGTTGGTTGGTTAGCCGGGTTGGTTGGTCAGCCGGGTTGGTTGATCGACCAGATTGGTTGGTTGGCCGGGTTGGTTGTTTGGTCAGGTTGGTTGATTGACCGGGTTGGTTGATTGGCCGGCCAGTCAGTCCATTGTTTGGTTGGTTTGTCAGTCGGTTAGTACGTCCGTCGATTGGTTAGTTGTTTGAATTGGTTGGGCATTTGGTCAACCTGGTCAATTGGTCGGTTGTTCAGAGTCGTTTGGTCAATACCATAGATATCTTATATTAACTAGATAGCGCATCTCTTTTAGGAAAATTGAAGCCAAGAATATTCCAGCGGTTACCCCCATTTGAATAGATGGCGGCCATGTTGGAGTTTCCCACTCGCTAATAAACGCTTAAAAAACAACACTATAACTTTCATCATTTGAATAGTTTGAAAATATATTTGGAATAGTTTTAACTTAATGTTTAAGTTCCCTGTTTAATAAATAGAAAACATACGAGTCTTCTCATTTCATGGGAATATCCCGAGTCTGCAATCACGGCTTCAATTTTTGAATTGCAGAATAATTAGATGCACTATCTAGTGTATATAAGATATCTATGATCAGTACTTGTTATCTTGGTAGGTCAGCATCAATCATTGCCAGCATATTATGACATTTGAACGAGGTTTATTGAAGACATGGTGTATATGTATTTGCTCACGTCACTGTAGGATATTGCAAGCTTTAGGGACTGGTCATAAAGTAACTGCTAGGGTGGGCTGGAGGTAAATCACAAATTTTTCCAATAAGTTTGGTGACCCATCTTAGGATGTAGATAAAAATTTCAAAGCCCATCTATTCTTACCAAATTTATTTCATGACCCACCCACCCAATCTAAATTGGGAAAATACACTTTTATAATAAACCAAGTCGACCAACATAATTGCACCAAGTTGACCAACAAATTCATCACCAATTACGACACTGAGCTGTTCTCCATTTGGTTGTATTTGCTGTGATTCGACGATCACTTCTTGTTGTTGTATAAAACAAAGTACTGGCTTCAATAACATCATTTGTATTTAATAATTTGGATAGTTTTAGTTACTTCTATTATTAATTTAATATCTGCCCATGTTGGGTTTTTGTTTGGTGGCCCAACCGTGGACATACAAAAAAATTGGCGGCCCATCGAAAATGCCCAAAGATTTTCCATGGCCCATCCCAAATCACTCCAGCCCACCCTAGCAGTTACTTTATGACCGGTCCCTTACAGACTATTCATTCTATTATTTTCATTTCGTTTTATTCTGTTTCTCCTGCAGGAAAACATTTGATGGCGTAAGCTGTGTGATCGGGACAAGCATAGGAAGGCCAACCACGGAAAGAAATTCAACTGATAGAAATGAAGTTGAGAAAGTGGAAATTAATAATAATACATCAAAAGGAATAATTGAAAATGAGGACAAGAAATGCGATGATTTACCTGAGGTGACTTGTAAAAATATTGTAGGTGAGTATTAAACTTACCAATTGACCGTAATCAAAGCATGGGCGGATTTACTGGGGTTAAACCCCTCTAGAATCTCTCTAACCCCTCTTATAAAGTGTTCAACCCCGCCAAAATTTCGCTTCACCCCTCTTATTTTGTGTGAAAGTCTTTAACCCTAACGCCTAACCCCAGCCGAAAGAAAATGAAAATCCGCCCTTGAATCAAAGGTCGTCTCTAAAGGCTGGTATACACTTTCAAAGTTTCTGTGATATGTGTTGTAAATTGTAAATTTTGAAAGATTTGTAAGGGCCCTTCAAAACGTAGAATTTACTCGTATGCAAAATTCCTACCGTCTTCACAGAAACTTTGATAGTGTAATCCAACACTGCTAAAATGTACGGAATTTTAACGTGCGACTAACCACAAATATTATTTTTTGTATGTGTAATATTTGGGTCATTCGAAGAAGAAATGTAATGTATCTTTATAATACAAAATTCCATCTTGATCAACTTTTTCACTGTCAAAGTTTCCGGATATGATGTCATTAGGTGAATTGCAAATGAGTTTTCCTTTGTTTTTTTGTACCAAAAATTCACCTAGTGACGTCATATCCGGAAACTTTCACAGTGAAAAAGTTGACCAAGATGAGGTTTTTTACTATATAAAGATATATTATATTTCTTCTTAGAATGACCCAAATATTACACATACCAAAAATTATATTTTGGGCTAGTCACACTTTAAGTTTTCCTTTGATAGAACAAACGAGTACCCATAATGAGAATAGTAAAACAGAAGTCATTGATCAAACAGATTTAGAAAATTTAAATGCTGGTGGTAATGCGGAATGCCAAGTGGAACAGTCGCCGACAGTCGGTCAAACAACGGATAAACAAGATGATTTGAAAACTGACAATGAAGAAAGCGAATCAGATGTGACTTTGAATGAAAATGTAAGTACAAACATTTATTTAAGAATATCACGATGATCATTCGGTTGAAAAATAAGAATTCTATTTTTACAACATAACAATTACTGCTTTTTGATATATTCCATATTACTATTACATGACTAGAATTATATGTTCCTTACTGGGTCTTTACTTCTTCGCTTACCAAATAATTACTAAAATGTACCCAACTACGTTCAGTTTCTACAGGATCTTAGACACTTTCGAATTAGCAACAACAACTTTCCCAATACAGACAATATTACGATAAACATTAAGATCACCAATGGCGCAACAACTACGATATTTTCCAACTTGTTAAATACATGGATTAAATTCAGACTATCTGACAACGAAGACATATCCTCGCCATAATAAAGATTTTTGATCAAAGTAAACCCACAAAGAACTGTCAGAGTAGAAAGTGAAAGTGCCTCAATCGCATTGTCACATGGTCGGGTGAAAGGTTTAATGTACATGTGAGATGTGAGAATGGCGACACAAAGTATTAACGTTAACATCATTTTGAGTCTGTTGTCGTGGACAAAAGTCAATACGAGAATCAGTGCCAGTCTTCGGAATATCAAGTAGCCTTCCCATGGGAGAATAGAGTCGCCAAAACATAGGAATGCTTTGTGAGGTCGAAAAGGACCAAGGAGGACTCGAAGAATGGCTGTCTTTAATACATGTTGTTCAGAGGCTTCATTGGCTCTTAGGCTATTGTCTTCGAACGTTTGACTGCTTTCGGATTCTTGTGTTGTTGCCAAACAACAGTTGTGCTGACGTGCCCCCTGGCAACATCCACAGTTGTCTGCTGAGCATGTTCCATGAGATCCGTTTTCCTGATCGTCTTCGCGAATACCACTAACGACTCTGCTAGATTCCATTGTATTATTACTAGTTCTTTTATGAAAGCGATAATCTCTGACCAGCAAGTATACCCAAAGACAACAAAATGGCAGTGGAAATATACATGCGATGCAAAACTGCGCCACAGAAATACGATCCATCTTTAAAAGGTACGCACCAAGCACAGGCACAAGACAAAATGGTAATACGGATGACACCACATAAGCAAGAAGAAAATATTGAAATGTTTGGTAGCATTTGATATTACCATCAAGAAATAAAACTTCCTTGTCACCAACTGGTACACAGTGAAGAAGAGAGAGACAAAGTTGAGTCGAAGAAGCATACATTAATAATGAGATGTAGGTGAAGGCTGAGGCTACACGTGCTTTGAACTTTGATGGGCGCGGTTGGGTCTCATTTATTACCAGAGACCTCATCTCGATGCGAACAGGTTTTACAGGTTTTAAGAACACTTGAAGCACACTTGTTACAAGATAAAGGATTCCTAGTAAAACTAACAAACAGTATCCCACAGAATGCAGGATAGCAGCTTTTTGAACAGGCTGGAGATTCTGGACAGGGCAACTAAATAATGAAACGTCGACTAAAACCATATTCAAGACTCTTCCAATAGTGTCTTCAAGTTTAGCAATAATTTTATTTTTATTTTGAGGTCCCACTGTGCTCCGAAGCAACCGTACGACTTGGTAATAATAGAAAATCACTTTAAGTAATCCGCTGCTTTGCATTCGCTTACTTTCTACGTTTCTATCAGTTTTCCGTGTTTCAAAAATACTCAAACTGCCAAAAAGAGTTTTTCTGACAATGCTAACAATCTCCTCGTGGTAGAGAAAGAAGATTAAGTATAGAAGTAGCATCGCGAGTGCGCTAGGAATGAATAACGACCCCGAGCATTTTGCATTTGCAGTACATTGCGAACTAAACAGGGTGTCTGACATTCCTCCTGAACACCGTCCACAGAGCGTTCCAGTTCTGTTACCATGGCAACTATCATAGCTGACGCAATCATTGGAATCACAGCAATATCCCGGCGGGCATTGCGCAAAGGTTATTGAGGTGTTAGTTTTGTACCCCCAGAAATTTGGCTTGGCCTTGACCGTACCACTGATGCAGTTCCCACCTCTGGGACATTGCATACATTTGATGTGATTGCTTGTGTTGTAAATGAATTTCGCTCTTTTTAGAGCATACGTTTTCGGAGGACACTTCGCGCAAGTTATGTAAATATAGGTACAACATATAGTGTTTTCATAAACGTTACAGGTTTTTTGAGAATTTAACACATACCCTTGAGGACATAGGATTTGGAAGCTATGGTTAATAAGAACTCGGCTTGTTTTATAGAAAGGCATACGTAGAAAAATGGTTTCTCCTGTCTTCAAGGCGAGTATATTGAATATGTTTTTACCTTTGAAGGAAACAAATGAATGTTCTTTCGCATATAACTGAGCGGCGAACGAAACCGTTTGGTGGTTTTCAAAGTAGCACTCGCGAAATGTTACGTTCGAGAGTTTAGATACGATCACAACGGCAGAAAACCGGCTTCCCGCCTTGTTGTCATAGAAACGACATGACGTCACTCGGTATTTGCCTTCTTTGAAAAATATCGCTGGCACGTAATTTTCTAAGTCTCGTCCATTGAAATTCCTCGTGAACGTATTGTTGTGTATAGTCACTGTCGGTATTTTACCAGTGGACGCATACATCCGATGATATACTTTGGACATTTGGACAACTAGAGCAGCAGAGTTATTTCTAAAAGTACTGTTAAGAATTTCTACCATGAAAGGTGCATCTATGCTGAACCTTAGCATAAGATTAACCGCAGGCAGTTTATTCAAGTTGTTTTCTACTCGGATATTCCTTAAAGATACGTATATTCCATTGCGGAGTGTCTCGACCTCTCTTATTAATAATGATGAAAATCCGTTCTTTGACTTTGTCATTCCAAGATGATTAACAAATGCCGATTCCCATATTGAGATATTAAGTACAAGTGCATGCTGTGGTTTTATTGCAAATAAATGCGTAGAGACAGTGCTGTGTTCTCCATCAAAGACGCTATTACGAACAAACACTTCCAACACTCGCGAATGAGATTTATACGACTTCTTGTAAAACGTTTGGAGCGAAATCGGATTCCTTTTAAACACGCTGTTTGTTATATGGGCTGTTAGGTTAGTGCATTTTAATCCAATGGCCCGATATGTTTTTTCTTGGAAAGTTGAATTGTTTATATTAATGAAACAGTTTTCAGACTTTGTACTGTGTATGCCATTTGAGTTATTTGCAAAAGTTGTATTCTCTAATACGAGCTCAAATGCGGACGCCTCGGTGCATTCTGCTACAGTGTGGGCCGATCTGAATACCAAATTATGGAATGCGACTTTGGTTACTTTCAATTTCGAATTTTTTATTACAAAAAGTTTGCAACTTTTCTTGCATTTTATTATTGGTTGTCCATTATTCCCGTGAAATGAAATCGTCTTATTCAACTCGATAGAGCATGTTGATTGTGTTACATTTTCGCATTCCATATAAGGTCTTCCTGGTGCATAATCAATATAGATTTGATCTCCATCACTAGACATCATCACTGCATGTCGCACAGTACGACATGGCATAGTCCAGTTACCACAATTGTTGTGATTGGTGCCATTCTTTCTGACATACCAATGTGTTGAGAGTGCATTTTGATTTCCTGCATGAATGATATTTAACAAATATAAAACATTTTCCGTGTTGATATACAGTTATATCAACACGAGTGGAAATTGGGAAAACGAGAAATTGTGTGGAAACACGACGCCCGAAGGGCGGAGTGTTTTCATACAATTTCGAGTTTTCCCAACTTCCACGAGTGTTGATATAACTATATATCAATACAATAAATAATTTGCACTATTGCTGTTAGGTGGCAAGGTGAGACGAGGCATGTATTCATACATCTATATATCTATCCTGTCTATTCATACATTCAGGCAGAGAGTAAACTTTCCGGGGGGTGTATACGATTTATGTTTGTAGTGATTTATTGTACTTAGTGCTTTGAAGGTTACTTAGGCAATTTCAGTTGTCTTATTTAATTAAATAATCTTTTGCCAAGTTCACAAAAATTTCGAGGAATCGTTGTCGTTATTGTAATTTTTTGTAATTTTTATAACATTCGCTTCTCATGTTGTGTAAAGGATCTTTACCCCGGAACACCCGACTTTTTCTTTAGCAGCACAAATGCGCATGCGCTATCATGCCGTAGATTACGATCGATGACGTGACGATGCTAGGAAGGAGCGACCATTAATAGAAGCGACACAGTGTTGTTTTCAAGTGTATAATTGTAACATTTCAGACGTGAATATTGAGTAAATCTTTGTGAATCTGCGCAATATATAAACCGATGTTATGCATTACGGGCATTCAATCAAGTATCGATATTATTTAGGCGGTATATTCATTATACAGAGCTAGGAAGGAGCTAGACAGTGCTTTTTTCAAATGTATAAACATTTCAGACGTAAATATTGAGAAAATCTTTGAGATTTTACCAAATATATAAATTGATTTTATGCATTACGGGCATTTAATATAATCAAGTGCCGATATTATTTTGATGGTATATTCACTATACAGAGTTAGGAGGGAGCGAAACAGTGTTGTTTATATACAAATGTGTAATTATAAACATTTCAGACGTGAATATTGAGAAAATCTTTGAGATTCTACGCCCCGTTCTACGCAATACATAAATTGATGTTATGCATTACCTGCATTCAATTAGGTGCAGATATTAGTTTAGGCGTACGCATAATATTATCACGTACTGCGTGATAATATTAATAATTATCAATATTAATATTCTACAGACTATTAGCTTAGCTTGAGCTTGCCTTAATGTAAAGTACTTTTTGTAATACGTGGTATCATTTGTGAATGATACGAAGAATAACGCATTTCATTCGAAGGGCCTTCGCTCGAAACGTTTGCTTTCCTATCAATCTACGCTGCCACATGAGACCATTCGAGATTATATCATTATCTAGACTATTCTATTATTTCAATTCTTTCTATTCTTTCTAACGCCATACTATTTTTTTCCGGGAACACTGAAAGTGTTCTATGTGTCTTGGGAAACGAGTGTGATTGTCATGTAGTTAAAACAAAATGAACTGAAATAATATCACGAAATGTACGCGTAATAAGTACCCCGGCTCCGGTTTACGAGTACGTTATTTCGTTTTATCGATGTCTGTGTGTTTACTCGTAATTACTGTACATGCTCTTTCACAGTAGCAATAGACAGAAAAAGTATGATCAAACATGCAAACACTATAGGGGAAATTTCTAATCTCTACTTTTAGTTCAAAAGTGCGTTCACACTTACCTTGAAAGATTAACAATATCACAGCTAAAATACTGCAGAACAGCATGTCAAAAGCTTTTCATGACCTAAGATCTTCAAAAACGTATGAAAGTGAAGGCAGAAGGACATGTAAAACGCCACTTAATCCAATGTTTCAAGTACTTTGTCTTCTTTTGTAAAATGAAAGTCATAGATCTGACTTTCATTCCTATGGCTTAGCTTAGCTTCGCTTGGCTAAACGTGCATAATGTACTTTCTGTACTGCGTGATAATATCAGTTTAGAAGTGTCTTGTGCCAAGTGAATTGTCAAAAATTTATGCAGGCTTCCCCGTGGCTGTGACGAAATTGCTAAACCAACAAGACTAGAACTAAACTAACTAAATAAACCCGACTAACTTAACTGCAATTTGGACATAACTGATTGATATGTAAAATTGTTACCCTTTATGTAAAATTGGCATAACACTGGAACCGAAGGCAAATCTCCGCTCTTGAAAACACTTGGTTCTACTTTTAAAGTCGTTTCCCATGTTTATGTCTTTCGATATTGCGGTAAGAAAGTCACAATCATAATACGGTTGAAAAATAAGTATTCTATTTTTACAAAGTTTCACAAAGTAACTGCTTTTTGATATATTCTATATTTACTATTAATTAACTAGAATTGTACGTTCCTTACTGGGTCTCTACTCCTTCGCTTACCAAATAACTGCTAAAAGGTTTGAAGGCACACAACTACGTTCAGTTTCTACAGGATCTTAGACACTTTCGAATTAACAACAACAACTTTCCCAATACAGACAATGTTACGATAAGCACTAAGATCACCAATGGAGCAACAACTACGATATTTTCCAACTTGTTAAATACATGGATTAAATTCACAGTATCTGACAACGAAGACATATCCTCGCCATAATAAAGGTTTTTGATCAAAGTAAACCCACAAAGAACGGTCAAAGTAGAAAGTGAAAGTGCCTCAATCGCGTTGTCACATGGTCGAGTGAAAGGTTTAATGTACATGTGAGATGTGAGAATGGCGACACAAAGTGTTAACGTCAACATCATTTTGAGTCTGTTGTCGTGTGCAAAAGTCAATACGAGAATCAGTGCCAGTCTTCGGAATATCAAGTAACCTTCCCATGGGAGAATAGAGTCGCCAAAACATAGGAATGCTTTGTGAGGTCGAAAAGGACCAAGGAGGACTCGAAGAATGGCTGTCTTTAATACATGTTGTTCGGAGGCCTTATTGGCTATGCTTTCACAGCTTTCGGATGTCAGGCTATTCTCTAAAAGCGTTTGACTGCTTTCGGATTCGTGTGTTGTTGCCAAACAACAGTTGTGCTGACGTGCCCCCTGGCAACATCCAGAGTCGTCTGCTGAACATGTTCCATGAGATCCGTTTTCCTGATCGTCTTCGCGAATACCACTAACGACTCTGCCAGATTCCATTGTATTATTGCTAGTTCTTTTATGAAAGCGATAATCTCTGACCAGCAAGTATGCCCAAAAACAACAAAATGGCAATGGAAATATACATGCGATGCAAAACTGCGCCACAGAAATACGATCCATCTTTAAAAGGTACGCACCAAGCACAGGCACAAGACAAAATGGTAATACGGATGACACCACATAAGCAAGAAGAAAATATTGAAATGTTTGGTAGCATTTGATATTACCATCAAGAAATAAAACTTGGTTGTTACCAACTGGTACACAGTGAAGAAGAGAGAGACAAAGTTGAGTCGAAGAAGCGTACATTAATAATGAGATGTAGGTGAAGGCTGAGGCGATACGTGCTTTGAACTTTGATGGGCGCGGTTGGGTCTCATTTATTACCAGAGACCTCATCTCGTTGCGAACAGATTTTACATGTTTTAACACCATTTGAACTACATTTGTTACAAGATAAAGGATTCCTAGTAAAACTAACAAACAGTATCCCACAGAATGCAGCATGGCAACTTTCTGAACAGACTGGAGATTTTTGACAGGACAACTAAATGATGGAACATCGACTAAAACCATATTTAAGATTCTGGCAACAATGTCGTCAAGTTTAGCAATGATTTGACTGCTATCCTGAGGTCCCACTGTGCTCCGAAGCAACCGTACAACTTGGTAGTAATAGAAAATCACTTTAAGTAATCCGCTGCTTTGCATTCGCTTACTGCTTACGTTTCTATCAGTTTGTTTCCGTGCTTTAAAAATACTCAAACTGCCAAAAAGACTTTTTCTGAGAATGCCAACAATCTCTTCGTGGTAGAGAAAGAAGATTAAGTATAGAAGTAGCATCGCGAGTGCGCTGGGAATGAATAACGACCCCGAGCATTTTGCATTTGCAGTACATTGCGAACTAAACAGGCTGTCTGACATTCCTCCTGAACACCGTCCACAGAGCGTTCCAGTTCTGTTACCATGGCAACTATCATAGCTGACGCAATCATTGGAATCACAGCAATATCCCGGCGGGCATTGCGCAAAGGTTATTGAGGTGTTAGTTTTGTACCCCCAGAAATTTGGCTTGGCCTTGACTGTACCACTGATGCAGTTCCCACCTCTTGGACATTGCATACATTTGATGTGATTGCTTGTGTTGTAAATGAATTTCGCTCTTTTTAGAGCATACGTTTTCGGAGGACACTTCGTGCAAGTTATGTAGATATAGGTACAATATATGATGTTTTCATAAACGTTACAGGTTTTTTGAGAATTTAACACATACCCTTGCGGACATAGGACTGTGAAATTATCCCTAATAACGAGTACGATGTTTTTACTGGAAGGTACGCGTAGAAAAACCATTTGTCCCATGTTTAAATCAATGATATTGAATATATTTTTTCCATTGAATAAGACGGAGGACGGTCCATACGCATAGAGCTGAGCCGCCGACGAAACGGTTTGGCGGTTTTCAAAGTAGCACTCGCAAAATTCCACATGCGACGCATCAGATACGGCGACGACAGCATAAAACGGGCTTTTTCCCGCCTTGTTGTCATGGAAATGACATGACGTCACTTTATATTTGCCTCTGTTGAAAAATATCGCTGGCACCGAATTTTCTGAGTTCTGTCCATTGAAATTCCCGGTAAACGTATTGTTGTAAATAATTACCTTCGAATTTTTACCAGTGGGCACATACACACGATTTATGTTAGAGGTTCGGACAACCAGAGCAGCAGAGTTGTTCCTAAAAGTACTGTTAAGAATTTCTACCACGAAAGCTGCATGTATAGTGAATCGTGCCACGAGAGTAACTGCAGGCAGTTCATTCAAGTTGTTTTCTACTCTGATATTCCTTAAAGACACGTATGTTCCTTTCCGTTTACTCGAACTTTCATCGCTTATAAATAATGATGAAAATTTCATAAATTTGTTCTTAAAATTTAGTGTCATTCCCAGATGATTAACAAATGCCGATTCCCATATTGAGATATTAAGTACAAGTGCATATGGTTTTATTACAAATAAATGTGAAGGGACTTCGCTGTGTTCTCCATCAAAAACGCTATTACGAACAAACACCTCCAATACTTGCCAATGATATTTATACAACTTGTTGAAAATAGTTTGGAGAAAAATCGGATTCCTTTTAAACACGCTGTTTGTTATATGGACAGTTAGGTTAGTGCATTTTAGCCAAATAGCCCAATTTGTTTTTTCTTGGAAAGTTGAATTGTTTATATTAATGAAGCAGTTTTCACAACTTCTACTGTGTATGCCCATTGGGTTATCTGCAAAAGTTGTATTCTCTAATACGAGCTCAAATGCGAACGCCTCGGTGCATTCTGCTACAGTATTTGTCGATCTGAATACCAAATTATAGAACGCGACTTTGGTTACTTCCAATCTCGAGTTTTTTATTACAAAAAGTTTGCAACTTTTCTTGCATTTTATTATTGGTCGTCCATTAATCCCGTGAAATGAAATCGTCTTATTCAACACGATAGAGCATGTTGATTGTGTTACATTTTCACATTCCATATAAGGTCTTCCTTGTGCATAATCAATATAGATTTGATCTCCAGCACTAGTCATCTTCACTGCATGCCGCACAGTACGACATGGCATAGTCCAGTTACCACAATTGTTGTGATTGGTGCCATTCTGTCTGACATACCAATGTGTCGAGAGTACTTTTTGATTTCCTGCGTGAATGATATAATGTTTTATGCAAGTATATTCGATGGTGTTTTGGAGGGCTGCATGCAAATGCACTACCCATGACTCGTACCAGTCTCTGAATTATGACGACTGGGTCTACTTTGTCTAACACCAGACCATTTTATTCTGTCAGTAGCAGTGTAGCACACCGTGTTATTCTGTCCAACACCAGATTATTTTACCCTGTCTATAACACCAGACAATTTTACTGTCTATATTATCTTAATATGTCATGCAGGCTAACATGATCTAAAGACTAAACTTCACTACTTCAGTTCATACGGATGCAACTTGTAAAAATTCAAGAAAAACTTCGAGGTTTTAGGCGAAGGCTCTTCGTCAGGAGAAGTTAGTTGCCTGGCTTAGATCTTTGTAAAAATAATTCTTCATGATTTTACTTCGTAGAAAAATACTTCGTTTTCTTATGTAAATAAATAGGGTCGGCCAAGGGGTTTTGGGTATACAGGATCTAATGGGTATTTAATTTGAGTATACTGTATATTTACTTAAATGTTATGACTAATTTGGGGTATTAAGTATACAGCTTCTGGTTGTTTTAGGTATTTTGTAACATTTGGACCGTAATAATAGGTATTTTTATCCATATTTATCAGGTATTTAGGATACCACGACCCCCCCCCCCCTGGCTGACCCCTAATAAACAGACGATTAGCTTCAACTTAACTTGGCTGTAACGTACTTCCTGTACTGCGTGATAATATTAATAATTATCAATGTTAATATTCTACAGACGATTAGCTTAGCTTAGCTTGCCTTTAATGTAATGTACTTTTTGTAATGCGTGGTATTATTTGTGAATGATACGAAGGATAACGCATTTCATTCGAAGGGCCTTCGCTCGAAATGTTTACATCCCTATCAATCCGAAGCATTCTTCATATTGGCGCTTCTTACGTTGCGACAGACCATTCGAGATTATATCATTTTCTAGACTATTCTAGTATTTCTATTCTTTCTAACGCCATACTATTTTTCTCCGGGAACACTGAAAGTTTTCTATGTGTCTTGGGAAACGAATGTGATTGTCATGTAGTTAAAACAAAATGAACTGAAATAATATCACGAAATGTAATGGTTAACTGCCCTGGCTCCAGTTTACGAGTGCGGGTATAGCGTCATTTTGTTTAGCAATTTCCATCGATGTCTGTGTGTTTACTCGTAGTTATTGAACATGTTCTTTCGCAGTAGCAATAAACAAAAAAAGTATATGATCAAACATGCAAACATTAGAGGAAATTTCTAAACAAAATGACCGTATCTTAAAACCTAGCTCGATCTCTAGTTTTAGTCAAAAAGTACGTTCGTCACACTTACCTGAGAAGACTAGCAATATCACAGCTAAAATAATGCGGTACAGCATGTTAAAAGCTTTTCGTGGCCTAAGACTTCAAAAACGTATGAAAGTGAAGAAGGACTGAAAGGCAACTAGACTGTTCAGATTGTCGGTAAATTCAAGAACATTTAAAACGCCACTTCAATATTTCAAGTACTTTGTTTTCTTATGTGAATAAACTGACGATTTGCTTTATAGTTAACCTTTAATGTACTTTCTGTACTGCGTGATAACATCAGTTTAGAAGTCTCTTCTCTATTAAAGCCGGGAATGTCAAAAATTTTATGCAGGCTTCCCCGTGGTTGTGACGAAATTGCTAAACCAACAGACTAGAACTAAACTAATATTTTTGTTATGTCTTGTCTGAAAGGCTTTAATTCTCATTTTTAAATTACGCTTTCCACCCGGTGTATCAATCGCTGCTGTTTTAAACTAAACCCAGCTAACGTAACTGCAATTTGGACATAACCATGGTTAGTCTCAACCCTTGAGACCATTCCAGCTAATATTACAAAGTTAATGACATTCATTTGACAAAATGGACTTTCACACACCCTCTCCCCAGTTTTCAAATTTTTTACCCTCTATACAAAATTCGCATACTCCTTATAATAAATTCCATGTTGAAGCATGTTGCCTTCTTAAGCCCCCGCTCCCCCAACTCAATGTTGAGCTTGTGTCATGGTATATTACCAAAAGTTGTTTCGGCGTTGTTCACAGCATTGAACTGGGGGAGTTGGGGTGACAAAGTCCGTTTTGTCATTGTCATTAACTTTGTAATATTAACTGGAATGGTTTCAAGGGTTTTGTCCAAGATTATGGCTTTAACACTGGAACCTAAGGCAAATGTCCGCTCTTGAAAAAACGTGGTTCTGTTAAGTGGTTTCCTGTGTTTACGATGATAATTCGGTTGAAAAATAAGAGTTCTATTTTTACAACATACAATTACTGCTTTTTTATATATTCCAAATTACTATTACACGCCCAGAATTATATGTTCCTTACTGGGTCTTTACTCTTTTGCTTACCAAATAACTACTAAAAGGTACCCAACTACGTTCAGTTTCTACAGGATCTTAGACACTTTCGAATTAACAACAACAACTTTCCCAATACAGACAATATTACGATAAACATTAAGATCACCAATGGAGCAACAACTACGATATTTTCCAACTTGTTAAATACATGGATTAAATTCAGACTATCTGACAACGAAGACATATCCTCGCCATAATAAAGATTTTTGATCAAAGTAAACCCACAAAGAACTGTCAGAGTAGAAAGCGAAAGTGCCTCAATCGCGTTGTCACATGGTCGGGTGAAAGGTTTAATGTGCATGTGAGATGTGAGAATGGCGACACAAAGTGTTAACGTTAACATCATTTTGAGTCTGTTGTCGTGTACAAAAGTCAATACGAGAATCAGTGCCAGTCTTCGGAATATCAAGTAACCTTCCCATGGGAGAATAGAGTCGCCAAAACATAGGAATGCTTTGTGAGGTCGAAAAGGACCAAGGAGGACCCGAAGAATGTCTGTCTTTAATACATGTTGTTCGGAGGCCTTATTGGCTATGCTTTCACTGCTTTCGGATGTCAGGCTATTCTCTAAAAGCGTTTGACTGCTTTCGGATTCTTGTGTTGTTGCCAAGCAACAGTTGTGCTGACGTGCCCCCTGGCAACATCCACAGCATGTTCCATGAGATCCGTTTTCCTGATTGTCTTCGCGAATACTACTAATGACTCTGCTAGATTCCATTGTATTATTACTAGTTCTTTTATGAAAGCGATAATCTCTGACCAGCAAGTATACCCAAAAACAACAAAACGGCAATGGAAATATACACGCGATGCAAAACTGCGCCACAGAAATGCGATCCATCTTTAAAAGATACGCACCAAGTACAGGTACAAGACAAAATGGTAATACGGATGACACCACATAAGCAAGAAGAAAATATTGAAATGTTTGGTAGCATTTGATATTACCATCAAGAAATAAAACTTGCTTGTCACCAACTGGTACACAGTGAAGAAGAGAGAGACAAAGTTGAGTCGAAGAAGCGTACATTAATAATGAGATGTAGGTGAAGGCTGAGGCGATACGTCCTTTGAACTTTGATGGGCGTGGTTGGGTCTCATTTATTACCAGAGACCTCATCTCGATGCGAACAGGTTTTACAGGTTTTAAGAACACTTGAAGCACACTTGTTACAAGATAAAGGATTCCTAGTAAAACTAACAGACAGTATCCCACAGAATGCAGGATAGCAGCTTTTTGAACAGGCTGGAGATTCTGGACAGGGCAACTAAATAATGAAACGTCGACTAAAACCATATTCAAGACTCTTCCAATAGTGTCTTCAAGTTTAGCAATGATTTTATTTTTATTTTGAGGTCCCACTGTGCTCTGAAGTAACCGTACGACTTGGTAATAATAGAAGATCACTTTAAGTAATCCGCTGCTTTGCATTCGCTTACTTCCTACGTTTCTATCAGTTTGTTTCCGTTCCTTAAAAATTCTCAAACTGCCAAAAAGACTTTTTCTGACAGTGCTAACAATCTCTTCGTGGTAGAGAAAGAAGATTAAGTATAGAAGCAGCATCGCGAGTGCGCTAGGAATGAATAACGACCCCGAGCATTTTGCGTTTGCAGTACATTGCGAACTAAACAGGCTGTCTGACATTCCTCCTGAACACCGTCCACAGAGCGTTCCAGTTCTGTTACCATGGCAACTATTATAACTGACGCAATCATTGGAATCACAGCAATATCCCGGCGGGCATTGCGCAAAGGTTATCGAGGTGTTAGTTTTGTACCCCCAGAAATTTGGCTTGGCCTTGACTGTACCATTGATGCAGTTCCCACCCCTAGGACATTGCATACATTCGATGTGATTGCTTTTGTGGTAAATGAATTCCGCTCGTTGTAGAGCATATGTTTTCGGGCGACATGGGAAGCAAATTATGTAAATATAGCTACACTTTATGTTGTTTTTTTCAACGTCACATTTTTTTTGATAATTTAACGCATACCCTTGAGGACATAGGACTTTGAAGCCATGTTTAATAAGAACTCGTTTTTTATAGAAAGGCATACGTAGAAAAATGGTTTCTCCTCTCTTCAAGGCGAGCATATTGAATATGTTTTTACCTGTGAAGTGAACAATGGACTCTCCTGTCGCATGTAACTGAGCGGCGACCGAAACCGTTTGATTGTTTTCAAAATAGCACTCGCGAAATGTTACGGTCGAGACTTCAGATACGATCACAACAGCAGAAAACCGGCTTCCCGCCTTGTTGTCATAGAAACGACATGACGTCACTCTGTATTTGCCTCCTTTGAAAAATATCGCTGGCACGTAATTTTCTAAGTCTTTTCCATTGAAATTCCTCGTAAACGTATTGTTGTGTATAGTCACTGTCGGTATTTTACCAGTGGACGCATACATCCGATGCTTTACTGCCTTTACACTGGTCATTTGGACAACTAGAGCAGCAGAGTTGTTTCTAAAAGTACTGTTACGAATTTCTACCATGAAAGGTGCATCTATGATGAACCTTAGCGTAAGGGTAACCGCAGGCAGTTTATTCAAGTTGTTTTCTACTCGGATATTCCGCAAAGACACATATGTTCCATTGAGTTTCCTGACCCGGTATATTGATAGTGATGAAAATTTCTTCTTTGACTTTGTCATTCCAAGATGATTAACAAATGCCGATTCCCATATTGAGATATTAAGTACAAGTGCATGTGGTTTTATTGCAAATAAATCCATAGGGATTCCGCTGTGTTCTCCATCAAAAACGCTATTACGAACAAACACCTTCAATACTCGCGAATGATATTTATACTTCTCGCTGTTAAAAGTTTCGAGCAAAATAGGATTCCTTTTAAACACGCTGTTTGTTATATGGGCAGTTAGGTTAGTGCATCTTAACCCAATAGCCCAATTTGTTTTTTCTCGGAAAGTTGAATTGTTTATATTAATGAAGCAGTTTTCAGACTTTCTACTGTGTATGCCATTTGAGTTATTTGCAAAAGTTGTATTCTCTAATACGAGCTCAAATGCTGACGCCTCGGTGCATTCTGCTACAGTCTGTGCCGATCTGAATACCAAATTATGGAATGCGACTTTGGTTACTTTCAATTTCGAGTTCTTTATTACAAAAAGTGTGCAATTACTCTTGCATTTTATTATTGGTCGTCCATTAATCCCGTGAAATGAAATCGTCTTATTCAACTCGATTGAGCATGTTGGGTGTGTTACATTTTCGCATTCCATATAAGGTCTTCCTGGTGCATAATCAATATAGATTTGATCTCCATCACTAGACATCTTCACTGCATGCCGCACGGTAAGACATGGCATAGTCCAGTTACCACAATTGTTGTGATTGGTGCCATTCTGTCTGACATACCAATGTGTCGAGAGTACATTTTGATTTCCTGCATGAATGATATAATGTTATATGCAAGTGTATTCGATGGTGTTTTGGGGGGCTGCATGCAAATGCACTACCCATGACTCGTCTCTGAATTATGATGACTATGTCTATACTTTGTTTAGCAGCAAAATCTTTAATTATGTTCAACACCGGATTATTTTACTCTGTCTAGCACCAGACAATTTTACTGTCTACATTATCTTTGTCTGCAGGCTATTCTATTCCTTCTTACGCCAGACATTTTTTCTCCTGGAACACTGAAAGTTTTCTATGTGTCTTGAGAAATGAATGTGATTGCCATGTATAGTTAAAGCAAAATGAACTGAAATAATATCACGAAGTGTAATCGTCAACTACAACGGCTCCGGTTTACGAGCACGGGCATAGCGTCATTTTGTTTAGCAATTTTCATCGATGCCTGTGTGTTTACTCGTAATTACTGTACATGCTCTTTCACAGCAGCAATAAACAAAAAAAGTGTGATCAAACATGCAAACACTAGAGGAAATTTCTAAACAAAATGACCGTATACCCGGAAACCCGAAACCAGGAGGTATCTTAAAACTTCTAGTTTTAGTTGAAAAGTACGTTCATCTCACTTACCTGGAAAGATTACTAACAATATCACAGCTAAAAGACTGCGGAACAGCATGTTTTAAAGCTTTTCGTGAATATAAGACTTCAAGAACGTATGAAGGTGAAGAGAGACTGAAAGGCAACTAGACTTCATGAATGCTGAATGTCGGTAAATTCAAGGACATTTAAAACGCCTCTTAAATACCTCAAGTACTTCGTTTTCTTATGCAAATATAGTGACGATTAACGAATTAAATTGAATGATCGCAGAGACAAGAGGTAAATGTCCACTCTTGAAAATACGTGGTTCTACCCAAGTCGTTTCCTGTGTTTCCGTATTTCGATATTACATTGTGAAACATTGAGTGTCTTTCACATTTGGACGATTGTGTCTTGGTTTTCATTCTTCAATATTGCAGTTGCGTGATTAAAATGTGGCCTCAGTCGCATGCTAGAAAAGTGCGTACAGTTTGACTTTAGCTGACGCTTCAGGTTTTCTTTGGTTCCATCTGCAGTAGGCAACGGACCATACGGAATTATCCTTATTAGATTTCTAGGACTACTAGGAGTGAACTGCTACAGCTTTCCGGTATAAATATACGAGTATTATTTTTTTCCTAGGATACATTTTGGTGCCAAGGTAACGCCATAGCTCGCAAGCCAAGCGACCATATTCGGCATGCTAACCAAGAGGTACCATTGAACGAGACATCGTGCGAAGAATACGTTCGTGCGCCCGCCAGTCTGGTGGACATCAGCGGTAGTACATCTAGTGATTCATTGGACGGTATTGGGGGTCATGCAAGTACAATGGTGGATAACATAACCGAATCCCCCATTGCCACCCCATCACTCGCAGCGTCCTCGATATCCAATATATTAAGCTTGATAGGAGATGAACAATGTCATAATGGACAAGTGTGGATGGATGTGGATAACAATGATCTTGCATGTACTTCTGAGTACAACGAGGTACATTCAGAGATACAGAATGTTGAGAGAGATGGTGCCGCCTGTGTTACCCTTCAAGCTATTGAGGTGAAGAAGAAAGGTCCTACTCAACAGAAGTTTGTTGGCCGGGCGAGATTTAAATCTGCTGAAAGAAAAGGTATGGTATTTTTTGCCCTCAATGGCCTCAATATATTCATGAGAAAACCCTAATGCGGCCTACTTTATTGTTCTACTCTGTCCAACGCCAGATGATTTTACTTGTCCCGGGAGGTAGAATACTGGCATGCATTCAATGGATTAATCTTTTTGAGATTGTCGAGTGGCATGTTGAGTTTGCTCAAAACGAAAAAGAAATACAATATAATCTCAACACGACATTAATATTGCTCGCTGAATTTTTCCGTGTTTCTTGCAGGTTCAGCATTCAGTACAAAACCAACAAAAAAGTAAGTCTGGTTTAAAAACTACCTAAAATATATATCTAATGCGTCTTTATTCAAATAAAAAATATCGAAACTGTATTGAATTTTAGAACCGTGAATCCGAGCAAAGATTTAGAAGAAGCCATAGAGGAAAGGTCAGTAATGGATATTTGTCAGGGGTTGGTTGTTTGAAGGCTGATCAGCTTAACCCTAGGTTAACCTAAATTCAAAGCAAACTTCCTGCCAGCTTGTTTACAAATTGGAAATGATTCCTCAGAAATCTTGTCTGGATCGGTTCTTCGGTCTGGATCGATTCTTCGGTCTGGATCGATTCTTCTGTCTGGATCGATTCTTCTGTCTTGATCGTTTCTTCTGTCTGGATCGATTCTTCTGTCTGGATCGATTCTTCTGTCTTGATCGATTCTTCTGTCTGGATCGATTCTTTCCACAGTTCTCTGCAGTGTTGAAATAATCAGAATGCAGAAATACATAAACTGAAACAGCGGGTTAAACTTTAACCCAGGGTTAGCGCTAACCCACCTTTGAACAACTGGCGCCCCAGGGCGAATACGTGGAGTTTGGATACACGAACACGCTAACTAACTAGCTACCAGTGAAATACCTTCAATTCCAGTCTAGTATTACTAACGCCCCGGTGAAACGAGGTTGAGAGTTGATGAGAGTAGGCAGACACGCATTGTTACAGGGGACATTTCAAGCTCTAGATTAACAAAATAAAAGTTTGATGAATGTTCCAACTATGTTTTAACTTCAATAGAATACATGATAGTGTTGAGAAAGCGTTAAGAACAGCTAACCAAGATCACGTGATTGTCAACTCTCATGCACTCTCATCCTCGTCTCATCCGGGCTTAGTTCAAATAATCAGATAAATAACTAACTTGCTAAATAAGTATAGTGTACTCATATATTCACTTTCTGGATTTTCTTTCTTCAAAGGTTAAAGCCTTGTTTAAAGAACTCTGCAGCATCACTAAGGTCGGTCTCTTATACATTGGATTTGATTTTGGTCTTTGTCACTGACATTTTAACATGAGTTCAGAATATTTTGCTTCATGTCTCAGAAAATTTCTTTATTTTTAGAGAACGACCGCATACAGCAAACAGCAAGGTTTGTCGTTACAGTTGATTCGTTTTGCATTTAGGTTTCATATTTTGCATAACTCTTTGTGGCCTGTTTTTAATATAGTATTTTTCAAAACAGATTTCAAGAAAATCCTTCCAGTCTGAAAGTGACATGTGCGTTTCCAATGACCTGCCTCCCAGACCCAAGACAGTGGCGTCCTCACAGCCTCGAGGTGGTGGCTTACAAGTCAAAAGTAGTAATGCAAGCACACGAGACAAATCTCTCACTGCTGCTTTGAGAGCTCGAAGAGCTACAAGGTGAAATGCCTGGTTTAAATTAGTGTTCTTAAGTATACGTGACACAGTGTTGGGGCCTTTAGCATATTAACCCCAAAATGCGAGGACCACAGGTTCGATTCCTGTCAGAGGCCCATACATAACATCAAAACACATAAAAAATATTTACAAATATAGTTATTATAAGGATCTTAATTATAGTTGATAAAATGTTTTAGTTTGGTTTGAAAGAGTTGAAAATTAGTAGATTATTTTACTTCAATAGATAATGAGTTCCATTCCCATACAGAGTGAGAACAGGACTATTAAAACCAGGAATATAATTTTATTACTAAAACATTACATTCTTATATTTTTGAAGGAAAAACGGTCCTCGACCAAAAGTTGACTCCTGGCTTAAGCACAACGAGTCAAGCTTTGAAATCTCGGGCAAGAAAATCCACGTCGAAGGCAGTTCAGAGCTCGACGAGAAGGCCGGAAAAACATCGGAAACACAACAACATGGAACCATCATTGTTCGCAGTCGCATTCCAGGCGACTCCTCGGCTACCAAGATCTCGACAGAAACGAAGGATACTTCTTCGATAAATCTGGTTGTAGGCACAGGATGTTTTAAGAAAGATAAAGAAACGAGAAGCACAAAACTGGAAGATGCAGCTCCCATTATAAACGATACAAGAGATTTAAGTGATTCAGATTCGGAGATGACAGATTTTGTTACAGCGTGGTTAGTATGTTGGTTGATTTCCATGCTAGAGACTCGTTCACACTTGTAATTTTTGCTCCGATCATCTCTAGTGCGATCTTCTTCTGATGGATGTGAATTAGTCGACGACTGGATAATATACAAATAATGAATGTTTCTTCGTGCAATGGTAAGAATATTTTCATGAGGTGAAAGATGGAATGTTCCATTCAACGAGGCGACAGCCGAGTTGAATGGAACATTCCATCTTTCACCGAATGAACATATTCTTACCAT